ATGACAGCAAGGATAGAAAGGAAACCCTAGTGGCCTGCCAGGTAGCCAACCACAACAATGAGTTCCCATCAATGGCTTGACAGATAGCCGGGGATGACCACAGAAACCTACAACCTCAGGCAATATGGCGTCCTTGGGCTCAGACAACACAGGACCTTCAGGCGGCAAAGAGTCTGCAGGCAGCAGGAATCAGCTGAGGCTCAGGGATGTCAAGATTCACTGCACATATAGGAGACTTTGGAAACACTGGTGGTTGGGTCAGCTCAACAGAGCATGCAGCAAATCTTACAGGGGACAGGGACGGTGGCTGTTCTGGCTCAGAATTCTCCCAGAAGTCCCAGAGCACAGTCACAATATCTGATAGTCTCTGAGATGGTGTGCTCATGAACACCAAATTCAATCTCTGGAGGGGTCATCTCAGCAGCACAGTTAATGTTAGTTGTAAGATCTTGGGGTTGTTACAGCTTCACCTTGATCACAAACTACGCCACTGTCGAACTAAAACATAACATAAAATTCAATGAAATAGTAAGACGAGTGAAATAAAGACATAAAATGATCTATATAACATACAAACATACCTCGCTGGCTGACCCATGCTTTGAGGCAGAAATGAGCATTTTACTTTTAAGAAACAACTTTCTCTGAATTAAATTGGCTTCTCTTGCTTCAAATTGCCATGGGCGTGCACATCAACATGGGCGTGCATCTCCCTCAGGTGCACCAGTGGAACCAACATGCAGTACAATAGTTCCTATATGAGAATTTTCACAATAAATGACCTAATGGCATATAAAATATGCATAGTGCAAAACAAAATACATTAACTGAAAGTAAGGCAGTAAAAGAGGTGACCACAAAAAACATGTTTTGAACTGGTCGCCTGGTCTTTCTTCTAGCAGGAATAAAAAAAGAAAAACAGTCTTATATTGTATCATCAACAGTCTGACTTAGACACAAAACCCTCAGTTTTTAACTTTGCTGGTTTAGCGGTTATGCTGATGGTGAAGAGAACACAGAGCAGTCTTTGCTTAGATTTCTTCTGGCTGGGAGCACGACAGAACACGTCTTTTTCATTCACCCTAGAGGATTGTTGTAGAGATCCTGTTTTAGCAGATACCAGTGGAGCTGCAAATGTGGGCAGTAGTGGAAGGTACTGGTGTTGGCAGCTTCACTTCCTCCTCAAAGTGGGAACCCGTTTTGGTGATGTCAAAAAGAATGTGATCCACTGATGTGGCAGTGATGAAGGGCTCGTCCACTGCAGCGGTGACATAGAGGTTCTGTTGGGCTCAGTCTTTTTATAGTTGTGTTCTTCTGTCAGGTTAGATGTGTGGCTGCAGGAGTAAGACCCAAAAGGCGGGAGTTGGAAATAAGGGATAAGCAGTATCATGCTAAACTCATGGCAGTAGCCACTGACTTAAGACCTAGACACAAAATACAAGGAAGAACAAACATCAAAATAAAATGGTAAAACAGTGTACAGGAAGACAAAGGGAGAAAGGTAAACAAAGATGGTGACAGGATTCAGAGAGCAGACAGACACAGGGATAAGAAAACAGAAAGGGAAAACAAAAGATGATAGCTAAATATTACAAAACCAAGACACATGAACTCAACTACAACATGAGCAGGAAAGAAGAAGCTAAAATACAAACCGACGACTGAAAAATACAATAATGAAATGAGAAACAGCAATCGAACAAATACTACGAACAAACCAAACTAAGAAACAAATGATCCACAAAACAACAAAACATGAACTCACTAAAAACTCTGGGTTCAACACCTAGGGATCATGACAGCTTTGGAAATTTCAAACACTTCAAACAAAATTAGGAGATGATTATCAATATTTGTTTTGGGTTTTTTGCTGGATTTCTGCTGTTTTTCATAATCATCTATCATCTGTTTGTGCAGGATCTGTGGTGACCCCCTTCGAGCAGGGCATCTCTCCAAACAACGTGCCGTACTACATCAAGTAAGTACTCTGGTGCTCAGCTTGTAGCCTCTTCATCGGCTACACACAGTTTTTAACTTTCATTCTGTCG